GGCTGCGTCCCACCCGCCTGTGTGGATTCACAGGAAGTGTGAGTTACGAAGTCTGAGGAAAATGTTGAACGGCCTCTGCTGGGATGACGACTACACCATAGCTCAGTGGTTAGAGCATCGCTGGCTACAAGCGAGGGTCCCTGGTTCGAGTCCTGGTGGTGGCAGTCAATTTTTTCTTCAGACTTTTCCCGTTTGTCTCTTTCCCTCAAACCAGTCAGTATTTTACGACTTGGGGCTCCCCGCGTGCTAGTTTGTACGTGAAGTGTGTGGGTTACAGTGAGGGCTGCGTCCCACCCGCCTGTGTGGATTCACAGGAAGTGTGAGTTACGAAGTCTGAGGAAAATGTTGAACGGCCTCTGCTGGGATGACGACTACACCATAGCTCAGTGGTTAGAGCATCGCTGGCTACAAGCGAGGGTCCCTGGTTCGAGTCCTGGTGGTGGCAGTCAATTTTTTCTTCAGACTTTTCCCGTTTGTCTCTTTCCCTCAAACCAGTCAGTATTTTACGACTTGGGGCTCCCCGCGTGCTAGTTTGTACGTGAAGTGTGTGGGTTACAGTGAGGGCTGCGTCCCACCCGCCTGTGTGGATTCACAGGAAGTGTGAGTTACGAAGTCTGAGGAAAATGTTGAACGGCCTCTGCTGGGATGACGACTACACCATAGCTCAGTGGTTAGAGCATCGCTGGCTACAAGCGAGGGTCCCTGGTTCGAGTCCTGGTGGTGGCAGTCAATTTTTTCTTCAGACTTTTCCCGTTTGTCTCTTTCCCTCAAACCAGTCAGTATTTTACGACTTGGGGCTCCCCGCGTGCTAGTTTGTACGTGAAGTGTGTGGGTTACAGTGAGGGCTGCGTCCCACCCGCCTGTGTGGATTCACAGGAAGTGTGAGTTACGAAGTCTGAGGAAAATGTTGAACGGCCTCTGCTGGGATGACGACTACACCATAGCTCAGTGGTTAGAGCATCGCTGGCTACAAGCGAGGGTCCCTGGTTCGAGTCCTGGTGGTGGCAGTCAATTTTTTCTTCAGACTTTTCCCGTTTGTCTCTTTCCCTCAAACCAGTCAGTATTTTACGACTTGGGGCTCCCCGCGTGCTAGTTTGTACGTGAAGTGTGTGGGTTACAGTGAGGGCTGCGTCCCACCCGCCTGTGTGGATTCACAGGAAGTGTGAGTTACGAAGTCTGAGGAAAATGTTGAACGGCCTCTGCTGGGATGACGACTACACCATAGCTCAGTGGTTAGAGCATCGCTGGCTACAAGCGAGGGTCCCTGGTTCGAGTCCTGGTGGTGGCAGTCAATTTTTTCTTCAGACTTTTCCCGTTTGTCTCTTTCCCTCAAACCAGTCAGTATTTTACGACTTGGGGCTCCCCGCGTGCTAGTTTGTACGTGAAGTGTGTGGGTTACAGTGAGGGCTGCGTCCCACCCGCCTGTGTGGATTCACAGGAAGTGTGAGTTACGAAGTCTGAGGAAAATGTTGAACGGCCTCTGCTGGGATGACGACTACACCATAGCTCAGTGGTTAGAGCATCGCTGGCTACAAGCGAGGGTCCCTGGTTCGAGTCCTGGTGGTGGCAGTCAATTTTTTCTTCAGACTTTTCCCGTTTGTCTCTTTCCCTCAAACCAGTCAGTATTTTACGACTTGGGGCTCCCCGCGTGCTAGTTTGTACGTGAAGTGTGTGGGTTACAGTGAGGGCTGCGTCCCACCCGCCTGTGTGGATTCACAGGAAGTGTGAGTTACGAAGTCTGAGGAAAATGTTGAACGGCCTCTGCTGGGATGACGACTACACCATAGCTCAGTGGTTAGAGCATCGCTGGCTACAAGCGAGGGTCCCTGGTTCGAGTCCTGGTGGTGGCAGTCAATTTTTTCTTCAGACTTTTCCCGTTTGTCTCTTTCCCTCAAACCAGTCAGTATTTTACGACTTGGGGCTCCCCGCGTGCTAGTTTGTACGTGAAGTGTGTGGGTTACAGTGAGGGCTGCGTCCCACCCGCCTGTGTGGATTCACAGGAAGTGTGAGTTACGAAGTCTGAGGAAAATGTTGAACGGCCTCTGCTGGGATGACGACTACACCATAGCTCAGTGGTTAGAGCATCGCTGGCTACAAGCGAGGGTCCCTGGTTCGAGTCCTGGTGGTGGCAGTCAATTTTTTCTTCAGACTTTTCCCGTTTGTCTCTTTCCCTCAAACCAGTCAGTATTTTACGACTTGGGGCTCCCCGCGTGCTAGTTTGTACGTGAAGTGTGTGGGTTACAGTGAGGGCTGCGTCCCACCCGCCTGTGTGGATTCACAGGAAGTGTGAGTTACGAAGTCTGAGGAAAATGTTGAACGGCCTCTGCTGGGATGACGACTACACCATAGCTCAGTGGTTAGAGCATCGCTGGCTACAAGCGAGGGTCCCTGGTTCGAGTCCTGGTGGTGGCAGTCAATTTTTTCTTCAGACTTTTCCCGTTTGTCTCTTTCCCTCAAACCAGTCAGTATTTTACGACTTGGGGCTCCCCGCGTGCTAGTTTGTACGTGAAGTGTGTGGGTTACAGTGAGGGCTGCGTCCCACCCGCCTGTGTGGATTCACAGGAAGTGTGAGTTACGAAGTCTGAGGAAAATGTTGAACGGCCTCTGCTGGGATGACGACTACACCATAGCTCAGTGGTTAGAGCATCGCTGGCTACAAGCGAGGGTCCCTGGTTCGAGTCCTGGTGGTGGCAGTCAATTTTTTCTTCAGACTTTTCCCGTTTGTCTCTTTCCCTCAAACCAGTCAGTATTTTACGACTTGGGGCTCCCCGCGTGCTAGTTTGTACGTGAAGTGTGTGGGTTACAGTGAGGGCTGCGTCCCACCCGCCTGTGTGGATTCACAGGAAGTGTGAGTTACGAAGTCTGAGGAAAATGTTGAACGGCCTCTGCTGGGATGACGACTACACCATAGCTCAGTGGTTAGAGCATCGCTGGCTACAAGCGAGGGTCCCTGGTTCGAGTCCTGGTGGTGGCAGTCAATTTTTTCTTCAGACTTTTCCCGTTTGTCTCTTTCCCTCAAACCAGTCAGTATTTTACGACTTGGGGCTCCCCGCGTGCTAGTTTGTACGTGAAGTGTGTGGGTTACAGTGAGGGCTGCGTCCCACCCGCCTGTGTGGATTCACAGGAAGTGTGAGTTACGAAGTCTGAGGAAAATGTTGAACGGCCTCTGCTGGGATGACGACTACACCATAGCTCAGTGGTTAGAGCATCGCTGGCTACAAGCGAGGGTCCCTGGTTCGAGTCCTGGTGGTGGCAGTCAATTTTTTCTTCAGACTTTTCCCGTTTGTCTCTTTCCCTCAAACCAGTCAGTATTTTACGACTTGGGGCTCCCCGCGTGCTAGTTTGTACGTGAAGTGTGTGGGTTACAGTGAGGGCTGCGTCCCACCCGCCTGTGTGGATTCACAGGAAGTGTGAGTTACGAAGTCTGAGGAAAATGTTGAACGGCCTCTGCTGGGATGACGACTACACCATAGCTCAGTGGTTAGAGCATCGCTGGCTACAAGCGAGGGTCCCTGGTTCGAGTCCTGGTGGTGGCAGTCAATTTTTTCTTCAGACTTTTCCCGTTTGTCTCTTTCCCTCAAACCAGTCAGTATTATTATTATTATTATTATTATTATTATTATTATTATTATAGACAACACCTCATGGCATGAGATGAAAATCAGCCAGTACGGGAGATGTGGGTGTTAACCAACCATGGTGAATAAAAGAAGAAAAGTAATGATCAAGACGGAGAAGCATGGGAGGGACAGGTGATGGTGAATCTAGTGAGCATATTTAAATGTGTCCAGGGTACCGGCATTGCGCGTAGTAGCGGACAGCGCAAGCCAAGCAGAGTAGGCAACAAAGAGTGGAGAATGTACAAGGGAGGACGTTTTAGCCAAGGGGAGGGCAACAGAGCATCTTGTCTGGGAGCCATCTGTGATTCGGAACCAGTTATACACGCTAAGATAAGGAGGATGTAGAGCTAGTTTAAATTTGTGAGCAAAAGTGCAAAATAATGTTTGACGGTGGGTCGACAGTGGGCAAGCATTTGCAAGGACCTATTATTATTATTATGCACACACTCATGGCCCAGGCCAATCAAGGAGGAGGTGAGGGCGATTATAGCCAGCTGTTGTGAACCCTCTAAGATTCTCTAAATTGTCAGGATCGTACGACCACACGGCACGAGGACAACACTTTTCCTTTTAGACAGTATATTTCACTTCATCGAATAATTAACAATGAACACTAATAACATCAGCTATTTATAGCATGCAAAACAGCGTACATGCAAAACATACGCATATGAAACTGGACATAACAGCGTATACAGCAAAACGCACACAACGCATATAGCGTATGCCATGCAGCAACATCAGCGGTACGGCGGAGTCAAAATACAACATTTCAACGAATACCATGCCATAAGCGCGAAGGCCTTTCCCAATTGGGAACTGGTGGTTTACAACATTCTCCCCACCAAAGGGCTTCTCACCGCCGTACAACAGTGCACACAAGTCAAAAACGATCCGGGGCTCTGACTACGCGCCCAGAACGCGTCATCTCCTGCTGCCGTGGTGGTGGTAACGGTGCTGACGGTTCATACGCTGGCTGCTGAGGGACGATAGCAGGTTGAGCGGTATCGGCAAGCCCAGGAGCCACGTCCTGTGACGATACTTCTAATGGCACTAACCTTTGGATCGGCCTCAACAGGGTACTGGTACTCAACTTAACCTTGGCAACACGACGCTTACCATCTCGACCAGGGAATAACTCGATAACAAAGACATCGAGAACAAAGACAACATCACCCATAGCTAAAGGCCGCGACATGGTCTGTTGGTGCTTGTTCAGCTGACTTAGGTACTCCACCTCCCAACGATTCTTGACATGCTCCAGTGTCCGACTGAGGTAACGCAATCTCGATGACATCTGCGCAGCGTCCAGGGTACCTGCTGGCTTCTCTGACGACATCCAGATGTTACCCAGGGGCGTACATAGGGCGGTTCCCGGGATGCCCGGGAACCAGTAAAAAAATTTCGATGTGGGTACGGAGAAATTTTTTTGATCCATGTACTACTACTGTGTACAGTGCATATGAGGCCTGCAGACGCACTGTGCCTGTACTTACATGACTGTACTACTCCGTGGAGACGTCTGGAGCTGTGTTCAGAACGCACTGCATGCATTCATGCAGTAACAATACTAGCCCATGATAGGGGTCCGCGTGAAACGACCGAATAGTACTCGAAAATCGAAATAGAAAATTACAAGCACGCTCATCGATTATTCGAAAAGTTTCGATTACTAGTCATGTACATGACTTTGTACAGTCATGTACTGACTGTACTTGTACAGTGTAGTACTCGATTATGCACACAGTGCGCATGTGCAGATGATTGTAGATCGTCTGCGCCGATCGGTGCGCGCGAGATCAGCTTTGCGGTGTGCAGAAACATGACATCCTGAAGTGCTACATGTACGCTTGGCTGCATGCCGCTTCTGTGTTCACATAGTTCACGCTTGGCTGCACGCCGCTTTAGCGTTCACATAGTTCACGCTTGGCTGCACGCCGGGCATGACGCTCCAGCTTTCAGTTCACCACTGTTCACGCTTGGCTAGCTTGTTTGTGTGCCATCACCGCACACACGTCTTGCTGGTGCCGATCCGACATGTCAATGACAGGCCTAGTACAATCCTGTACATGTACATGTACATCACACCTACCATCTGCACTAGTAACAGGTGTAACATGTTACTGTCTGTGTTAGTGGAGCTGGGGGCCAGCCTGGGGCACCTTTGTGATACTCCCGCATCCTACTACTGAACTGGGTGCTGTTTAGACTTTAGTGTTTGCTGAGCCATGCACTGCTCCGCGGTCCGGTCCATAGTACACAGTCCGTGAACCTATAAAGTACAGAGTCTGAAGTTCGGTAGTTACATCGATTCCTGGGTCTCAAAGTCATTTCCTTTGCAGTTTGTTTTGACAAGGTTGGTTGTGTTTTTGACGGTGCTTTCGCTTTGTGAAACATGAAGCGTCGACATCCAGAGGGCCAGCGCTCTATTCAGAGCTATTTTCAGCAGCCGGCAAAGCGTGCAGCCAGTGACGAAGGTCATGCGACAGAAGAGAATGCGGACGCAGCGGCACCTGACTTGCAATCGGAGTCTGGAACGAGTAGCGCAGAGGAAGACATCGTTGGCGAAGCTGTCGAGTCTGCAACGAGCAGCGCAGACGAAGAAATCGTCGGCGAAGCTGTAGACCAACCGTTGTTGGAAGCGGCTGGAACATGCAAGGCTTACTTCACCGACATTGGAGAGTGTTGGAAGGGGTATTCTGCTGGTGGACTTCCACAGTGGAATCCAGTGCCCCGAAATTTGCCGGACACGGACAAGATATCCGTGATCGAAAATCATTGTGCGCCGCAGAAGGACTTCATATTTCCTGTACGTGTCCAGACGGATGGAAAACAGCGCCGCTTTCAGCGATCCTGGTTGGAGGAATTTCCCTGGATAGTTTATTCACCGGCGTGCAACGGCGGCTTCTGCTTGCCCTGTGTCATGTTTGCACCAGACGATCCGAAGCTTGGGCAGCTTTACCGCAGTCCTCTGGAGAATTTCACCCGATTCAAGACTGCTTGCAACCGTCATGCTGAACAGAACATCCACAAAAACGCCTTGGCAAAGTTCAGTCATTTCAAGTCACAAGTGCGTAGCAACGACATCGTCCAGCAACTTGTGGATGTTAACTCCACCCAGTCAGAGGAGAACATGCAGAAACTCCGTGGGATTGTGGAAACGGTGATTGTCTGCGGCAAGCAGAATATTCCTCTACGTGCCCACCGAAATGAACTGTACAATCCAGGTCGAGATGAACAAGTAGCTGGGAATCCTGGTAATTTCCTGGCTCTTATGGACTTCCGTGCTGGTGCCGGTGATGCCTCTGTGTCCAGGTCGTTCCACAAGAAGCCAGGTGGCGGCAGGTCCATCAAGTACACAACACCAAGAATTCAAAACCAGCTTGTGGAATGCTGTGGGGATGATATCAGGAAACAGATTCTGGACGAAGTGAAGAAATCACCATTCTTCACCGTGCTTGCTGATGAAGCCACCGATGCAAGCAACACAGAGCAAATGGCAATTGTTCTACGCTACCTGGACTCTACTTTCCAGGTCACTGAGGCATTTCTCTCCTTCGTAGCTTGCAGCAATGGCACCACCGGTGAAGCTCTCGCAAACGAAATCAAGACCCAGCTGCTAAACTGGGGCCTTGACATGACCAAGCTGAGGGGCCAAGGCTATGATGGAGCCGGAAACATGGCAGGTGATATCCGAGGCTGTGCCGCTCGTATTACTGCTGAATATCCCAAGGCTCTCTACCTGCACTGCTGCTCGCATGCCCTCAACCTGTGCATAATGGCTGCATCGAAGATCAATTCTGTTGCTGCCATGTGGACAACTCTGCGCGAGGTTAGCTTCTTCTTCAACTCTTCTCCGAAACGGCAGCAAAAGCTAAGTGAAGTGATAACTGCATCGACTCCGGATGAGGTGAAGGCACGGAAGCTGACTGATCTTTGCCGAACCCGCTGGTCTGCACGCCATACAGCTCTGGTAACATTTGCTGCGCTTATGAAACCCGTCATCCGCACTCTCGAAGAGATAAGTTCTGCTCCTCGTACCGAATGGAACAGCAACACTGCCGGTCAAGCTAGTGCCTTCCTGAAGTCCCTCTTGTCCTTCGACTTTATCGCGGCATTTGGCATTGTTTCAGAGGTGATGAGCATCATCCAGAGTTTGACATCTTCCCTTCAGGAAGCATCTTTGGATATCGTCCAAGCATACCGCAATGTTGGAGCAGTTCACCAGCAACTGAAGGATGCCCGTGAGAAGGTGACAGAGCAACATGGCAAATGGTGGGCCACTGTGATCTCCACGGCCAGTGACTTTGACATCACGCCATCAACACCTAGGACATGTGGCAGGCAGCAGCATCGAGCCAACGCACCGGCAGCTACACCCCAGCAGTATTATGAGAGAACACTCACAATCCCAATGTTGGATGAGCTGTCTGGTCACATGGAGAGTAAATTCAGCAAGCACCAGCGCACGGCAGGTATGGGTTTGAGTCTACTCCCAGCAAGCATTGTGAAGAGCCCAGCGACATGCAAAGTGGCAGCATTGGCCTTTGCAACGGAGTACGAGTCCGATCTACCTGGAGATCAGTCATTGTCTTCCTTCTCTGCAGAACTGGATCGCTGGATTGCACTGGCATCAACAACAGCACAAGCAGACCTACCTTCCAGTGTTCCTGACGCACTATTGCTTGCACAAAGTACGCTGTCGCCATGTATCCTTCGCCTGCTTTCCATTGTTGCTGTTCTGCCAGCCACCTCCTGCTCCTGTGAGCGCAGCATCAGTTCCCTTCGTCGACTCAAAACGTACCTCAGGTCAACGATGACAAACCACCGTCTCTGTGGCTTGGCTCTACTCCATGTTCACTACACAAGGCAAGTGAATGTGGAAAGTGTGATTCGTCAGTTCCTCCTGATGGCACCAAGAAACATTATCGCACCTGTCTCTGCTACCAGTGTGGCTGCTGTTGAATCGTCAGAGAGTGATGACAGTGACTTCAGCAATGATGACAGTGAGTAAAGTATTCACACCCTTGCTTTTCCATTGGCTGCAAATATACTTCCCCAAATGAAAGACCAACTACTTACGATTTCAGCTAGCGACTCCTGCGAACTTCCAAGTAGCCAAGGGTCCTTGTATTTTGTCATACTTGTAAATACTTCTAGCTTTCCTTTTATTTTTGGGCATTTATTAACATTATTGCCTTTAACCCTTTGAAGCCCAAGGACGAGTATACTCGTCCCTAGTG